TCATATTCCTGAGAAAACCCAGACATACAAACCAACCTCTGCGGGGCAGTACTATAATTACTATGATGGAGGAAACACCAAAGATAATGGGACTGAAGAAAGAAGATTTAAGGCTCCTGGGAGAATCTGGGGAAGCATTTCTAAGGAGATAGTCACTAAGCTGAGATTTGAAGATGAAGTTAAGAATTTAGTATATGAGCAGGAGGAATATTCTTACAGAGACATCAGTGAGCTCAAAACATAGAGACATGAGACAGAAAGGAATATTGTGGAGCTATGAGATGGAGTGATTGAGAATTGTGAAGTTCAAGGTGAAAAGTGGCAGGAGGTAAGGCTAGACTGGTGGAGGTAAGATAATGAGGGATCTTGTGTTTATTCTGATTTTATATCTTATCTTGAAGGCAATAAGCAATTGCCTAGAAGAAGAGATCAGAATTGTATATTCTGGGGTACTAGATGGTCAGGACCTCAACATCTTTTTGAGGGACCCAATGCAGCCCTTAAAAGGTGACTACTAAGAGAATATAGAAGAGGGAACTGATTGGTTAAGGGTGGTGGGGAGGAAGAAGATGTGTCTGCTTTTGGACTCACTAAATGTAAGTTGCCTGTGGGATATCTAGGAGGCATTGTTAGAACATAGTTGGTTAAATGGAAGCAGAGTCAGGAGGGGTCTGGGTTGAAGACATACATGTAGGCATCATGAGCTTCCAGGTGGTAACTGACAGTGTGAACACTGACTTGGAAGAGAATGTAGGGGAGAAAATGTGAGGGACAAGGATAGAACCAGAGAGACCTCACTATTTAAGGGAGAGCCAGAAAAAAAGGGAGTACCAAAAAGTCTTGAGGCAGAGTGACCAGAGAGGGAAGAATGCCATGGTGGCAACAATGCCAGGTGAAATTCTTTCGGTTGAAAGCGACTCAAAAAATGCTCAAGTTGGTTTGAGCAACTCAAAGGAATATATTGGGTCCCATAATCAAAGAGCCCAGAGGCAGAATTCAGCCTAGGCTAATCCCGAGATGAAATAATCAACATAATCTTTCTTCTTCTCTTTTCTACTTTTCTTCTCCACCTTGGCTTCATTCACAGACTCTGTTCAGTGTTAAAATGGCTGCTAACTTCGAAAGTCCTGCTGAAAAAAAAGGATCTCTCAGTTGTCCCAATAAAGGTGCTGGGATTGCACCTCACTGGCTTTATTTGGGTCATTTTCCTGTCCCTGAACCAACCACTGTTGCCAAGGATAGATGGTACTCTGATTGGTTAGGCCTAAGTTGCATGCCCAGTCCAGTCACTGGGGTAAGTTTAGCACCACTGTCAGAGAGGGAGGGAAGATTGACTCCCTAGAGCAAAACCAACTGCCAATACCAGAATATAAAGTTCTGGCTGACAAAGCAACAAATATCCATCACAAAATCCAAGGGAAGAGGGAGTTTGAAGAATAAAAGATGCATCAATAGCATGGAATGCTACTGAGAAGTTAAGTAAGGATAGAATTTTGACAATGGAAATGCCATTGTTGACTTTTGCCAAATTATGATAGAGTGATGTGGGCAGGTATCAAGTAGCAGCAGGTTAAGATTTTTAAGACTAGGGGAAAAAAGCTGTCTTGGGGATAGTTAAGGTAGATTGTGTGGCCAATTACTTGACTATGAGTAAGAAGAGAGATAAGGAAGGGTAGGTAGAGGGAGATTTGGCATCAAGAGGGGGCTTATTTATTTATTTAAGTCACTTGAACTTGTTTATATGTTGATATATAAAATGACATAGGCATTTGCACATGAAGTGGAAAAAAGAGTTGCAGTGATGACAGGCACTGTGGTAGGATATATAATGTCCCCCAAAGATCTCTCCAATCTAATCTCCAGAACCTGTGAATCTGTCACCTTACAAAGCAAAAGACATTTTGCAGATGTGATTAAATGAAAGATTTTGTGGAGGAGAGATTATCCTGGATTATCTGGGGTGCTGATGTAATCACAAGGGTGCTTATCAGAGGGAGGCTGGAGGTCAGAGAAGAGAGAAATTGCTGCACTGTTGGCTTTAAGATAAAAGAAAGTGACCATGAGCCAAAGAATGCAGGCAGCCTCCAGAAGCTGAAAAAAGCAAGGAAAGAGATTATCCCCAAGAGCCTCCAGAGGGAATGTAGGCCTGAGGACCTATTTGTAGATTTCTGGCCTCCAGAACTGTAAGTTAATAAATTTGTGTTATTTTAAGTCACTAAATTTGTGACTTAAATTTGTTACAGCAGCCATGAGAAACTAACAAAGCCATAGAAGTGAATTTCTGACATTTACAAATACAACTTTGGCATACACATTTTAAATATAATGGCATCTACTCTTGTTGAAAAACCAATAGGTTTAGACATGTTTCTAGGGACAGTAGAGGAAAAACATACACATTGCATGGTCAAGTGTAAATCTCTTCTGTAACAGTTGCCTCAAACACACAGCAGGCCTTGTGATTCACTAAGAGATTTGCAGGTTTTGTTCTTTCTAATCTTCCCTATTTAAAGTGAAATTCCAAAACTCTGCTAGGGTATTATGCAACTGAGTAGACTTTGGTACTTTTATACACGGACCCTCTAAGAATAGTTAGATATTTTTGAAGTCAAAAATAAAATCAGCCTGATGAGGTAAGTAGAGCTCCCATATTTAAAATTACATATAAGGAGGTCACCAAAGTTCAGAGAAAGCTGATTGATTTGATCTTTTCTTATTACTGGTAACCACAGAGGTTTTTCTATTGTGAGAACATCCTTTTATGAAGCAGAAACAAGATTGTCTTGTTGCTTCTTTTAATCTCAGAGTTTAGATTGTCCTGTATCATTTTCTTGTTTTGAGGGTCACTTCAACACAGGAGCACAGCTGTATGAGAGACCTCCTTCTTTGAAAATACAAAAATAGCACAACTTCCTATTATATCTAGTTTCATTATAAGACAATTTTAGGCTGACCCGGGCTATGTGATTCACTAATGTCCAATCATCATGTGCAGTGGAGGTAGCTGAGCTAAGAGCCAGCCTCGTCTTCAACTGGAAAATTTGCAGACAAATGTTTATTTTATGAGGCTGCTTCCTCTTCCCCATCGAGCTTATAGCATATAACTAATGCTGGCTGAATTGCAGCACTAAAGGCAATATCCAGAAACCACTTACATTTCCTGATTTTTATTATTTACTGTGGGTACATGCATCGCATTATTTGCTTGTACTCACATTTCATAGATAATTGCCCCATTGTAAATTCCTAAGCCACCAAATGGTGTTGCATTTAAATTGTGCACCCCTCCCTTGAAAAGAAAATTATGTAGAAGTGTTTACCTTTAGAACCAGCAAACTCAAGAATAGCCTGGCAAGACTCTTTGTCAAGTGTCACCCATCCAAATGAGAAACTGCTACACCACCATTATTGCTCCTATAACACGTGTGATCTGTGATCTGTCCTGTTATTGTGACTCTGTGTATTTACTGCCTGGCTCTGCAGTTTTTGTTTAAAACTCATTCTCCCTCTATACTCATGATCTTGTAGTTTAGGGATTATGTTTGAAGATTTTTCCCCCCCACCCCTCAGTAATAATGACTGGCATTATCACCAGTGCACAGCAATAATAGTTTCCATGTTTTGAATGCTTACTGCGTGTCAAGATCTGTACACATGTTATCTCTTTGTCATCCTCACCACAATACTGTGAGGTTGATGTTATCAAACTCATCTTACAGATGATGAAACAGGGGCTCATAGAAGTACAGCATCCTGCATGAGACCATGAAGCTGATCCAGGAATTAGGAACTCTTCACCCTGACTCTATACTGCCTGTCACAGTGTTAGTGGCAGAATAGATAATGAATGGATGACTAACTTCCTAAAATCCACCTATGTGACTTTCAAAATAGGAATACATGTTACATAGGAAAAATAGTAGAATGATTCAATGTTGGAATGCTGAATCCATTAGCATTTCCTTACTGTGCAATAATGTAGACAATCCAGTGCTAAGGGTTGTCTTGTTGAAGGCCAGTTCAGTCTTGACCAGATTTCTACAGCAGCTTGATGTAATGTCTTTTCTGGAGAAGAAAGTTGGAAAAAGCTGGGTAGGAGAAGGTAGAGGCTCTGGGTTTGATGTTCTTGAGTGTGACTTCTTACTAAACTTCTTGAAGTGGGGAGTTCTAAGCCTTTCCCCTTCAGCAAGTAATGCAGCTGAAAGGACAGCTGGGCTAGTCTCGTGGGATGTGGCCAGTGCAGGCAAGAAATAGAGCCCCACACTCACATGGAAGCCCCACTCTTGGCATTTAATGCTTTGTGGTTACCATCTTGAAATTCTTAATAATTTTATATTTGAATTTGTGTTTTGTAAGTGAAATCTGATGACAGTGGAGTAGGAGCAGGGGCTTGGGATCTTGATTCACAAACAAGCTCATCTGCCCCAGATGGGGTCTTGGCTGCTGACCTCCCTACCCTGGGGATGGCACTGGGAGACTTCAGTCCACATACAGGGAGAGTCAGGATGCAGAGTAGGCCTCATGTGCTGAGTTACAGGTGGGCCCTGGGTGCCTATGAACACCCTTGCCTTGTGAGTATCCCCATGACCAGAAGAATGAGAGATTAAAAAACAAATTAGGAAAATACTATGACAGCTCTAGAGAGACAACAGGTGGAAGGCAACACCTTTTTACCTGGTTCAAGGGGCCTCTCATTTTCATTTTATACTGTGCTCAGCAAATGATATGGATGATCCAGAAGGATGATCCAGATTTTTTGGAGGGAAAATATGCTGCCAAAGCTGAATGGCTTGCTTTTGACTTGTAAGTACCCCACGACTCTTTTGTTGCTGTTGTTAGATGCCCATCAATCCTCTTTTCTTTACTGGGTATTTTACAGGAAGTTATTGTATTTCTCAGCCTCTTCTGTAGTTAGTTCTGGCCCCTGATGTGTGGGTTCAAGTGTGGCCTGGCCATGAGAAGTTCCTCATGACCCTCCTCATTCTTTCTTTTCACTCAAGGACTGGCTGGATGCAAAGGATCCCACAAGGGACTCCAAGGAACTCTGAAGGTGGAGTTATCATAAGATGGAAGGAGAAAGGACCCCAGAGCGTCCCTGGAAGGCTGCCCACCAAACTGTATGTAGGAAACACACATCAATTGTGTTAGACCATTGGGAATTTGGGTTGTCAGTGATAGAAATAGTGTTAATTAACCCAACTGTAGTATTTTCAACAAAAGCCATTTTTCTTAGGCGGGATCTGCAGGCTATAGCCCTCAAGCCAATTTGGGCCACTACCTTTTTTTTAAAATAAAGTTTTATTAGGAACACAGCCATGTCCATTTGTTTGAATTGTCCATGGCTGCTTTTATGGTACAATGGCATAAAATGTGACAGACAGTATGTCCCATAGATCCTAAGATATTTACTGTCTGGCCATTTATGGAAAATGTTTGTAAACTACTGGTCTTATGAATAACTTAAGTAGTGGTTCCATTGACTCATCAAATGTCTCTGTGCTGACTTGAATGAGGCTTTTTAAGACAAATAATGATATGATCTGGACAATACAACTTTAATTCTCACTCTTTCCCATTTCTACCATTAGAGCAAGTTTTTTTGCAAAGAGATGTGAGATTCTTGTTATGGCTCAGTTGACTATGATAGTGATAACAATAATGATACTAATCATTAGAATAACTACTAGAACATTCACTAAGCCACATACAGACAATGTGCTAAATATACTACATGCATTACCTGGTTTAATTCTCACAACACCCTATGAAATAGGAACCATCATTTAGCTTTATTGATAAGAAAACTGACATTCTAAAAGGTTAATGACTTGCCCAGCATCACCAGGGAAGTGGAAAGGCTGGATTGATAAGACTCCTGTGACTCCTGGCGGGCCAGTGTACATAAGTATTTAGGTGGCAGGAGAGGATATATATATTTACACACACTCAGTGGTGAGAACAGCAGCATCTTCCAAAGCTCTGCATATAGAATTCTGCTTATAAGGATTATATCCTCCAGGAAAGACGATGAAAGATTCCTCTTTGGGGAAACAGAATCTCCCAAGAATGAAAACCTATAGACCTTGACATTAGAGGGTCACCCAATATCACTCCCAGTAATCATACAGTGAAATCTACTATCAAACTGGCCTATGAATATATAGCTTTTTAGTGCTTCACTTTTAAAAATAAACAGATAGCAAATAATCAGCAAATTTTTTAGGAGATTCTCTAATTATAGAAAGAGATAAAAACAAAGAAGCAGATTAAAAGGGCATTTAAAGGAAATAAAATATATAGCAAGATTAAAAAAAACCAGCAAATCTTTTCCTTAAATAAGTAAAAGAAAAGCAGGATGCTATTAAAAAAATAGAACACATTGGACTTTAGTAGTTTTTAGACAGTAAAAATATATTAGCACAGCTTTTTAAAAAAAATAGAAAAGTTGAATATAAAGTTAAGAAAATCTTCCAAAAAGAAAAGCAAACATGAATCAAGGTTCAGGAAGTTTCCCAAGAATTAAAACGAAATGCAAGCTAATAGGTTCAGTTTTTTTGTTGTTGTTGTTAGTAATTCTAGAACGAGAGAGTAGAAATGGAGGGAGAGCAATTATGAAAGAAATAATGATGAAAATTACCAGGAATTGAAAAACATGTGTATAATTATTGAAGATGCCAACTCAATGCCCATCTTAGAGAATGGGATAAAGCATACAGGAAGGCACATTATCATAGAGTTTCACAGCACTGGAGATTAAGAGGATCAGGAAAGAGAATGAAATTGGACTTTACACTAGCAGCATAGTAAGCTAGAAAAAGTGGAGCAACACTTTTATAATTCAAAGTGAAAATAATTTCCAACCTGTAATGTCTCAAAAAATGTACTTCATATGCATCTTTTTTTCCCAGGAAGCTACTGGAGATGTAGCCATAAAAATAGAGGATTAAATCAAGAATGAGGAAACTATGAAATCCAGGTAAGTTGGAATCCAACCCAGGAGACAGAGTGAATTCCAAGAATAGTACTTGTAAGTAGACCTGGAAATCAGTGGGTCCAGTAAAAGAAGGTGGAGGGAACTTTAGGAAGGACTATGACAATAGCATTATTTATAATAAACTGGAAAGAACCCAAATGTCCCTGACCAGTAGAAAAGATAAATAGTGGTATAATTTGCAACAATATAGCAATATAACAATGAAATAAGACAATGAAAATAAAGACTATGGCTACATGCAAATGTGGGGTGAAAAAGTAGAAACAAAAGAATACTTAATACATGATTTCATATACCCAGACAAAATTAATCTATGGTAACAGAAGTGAGAACAGTGGGTGATTTTTAGGGGGGTTGTGTAACTACCCCCCTTAAAAGGGGAGACTTCAAGCAGCCAGGGAAAGGGGCTGATAATGTTCTATTTTCAATCTGAATAGTGGTGACATAGGTGTGTTCATTTTGTAAAAGTCCATCAATTATGACTGTAAATTTTTCTATGTATACATAAGCTTTTCAAGTAAAGTTTTACTTTGATAAAGAAAGAACACGAAAGCACGTTTCTAATATAATCCTAATTTTATTTTAAAAAGTTAAAAAGATAAAAGTATATAGCAAATGTTGAAAACGTTTACTTCTTGGATATATGATTATTGAATGGGTTTTATTTTTTGTGAATTTACATACTCTTCTCAGTACTCTATAATGTGTATGTATTAATTTATTGATCAGAATAAAAGGAAACATAACAAGAACAATATTGAGATAGTATTTACCCCTGCTTATCAGATTGTCAAAGATTAAAAAGCTAAGAGCATGAGGGATGGGTACCCCCATGCCCTGTTGGTAGAAGTTATAAACATGTATGATTATTGAAAAAGTGTCCACCATTACACCCAGTCAATTCCACCCATAAGAATTCCCATGGCAACAGACAAGTATGTAAAGATATTTATGCAAGGATGTTCATTTTGGCTGTTTTGAGTTAAAAGGGAAACTATTGACTGTCCATTAAAAGGGGATTGGTTCAATAACTTATGATATATACTCAGAATGGAATGCTATACTGTCATTAAAAATGAGCGTTTGGATCTAAATTTACTAACATGGAATGCATTGGGTTATAGAACAGCATGTACAGTTTGATCATATTTAATAGTTATAATAAGTATATGGATAAATATGTACTGAGGTAGAGCAATAACAGTTATCTCTGGATGATGAAACTGTATGAGTTTTGCACTTTCATTTTTCTTTTCAGTATGTCTGATTTCTCTTTTATAACCATAGTAGCTTACTTGGACTGCTTAAACAAAATACCATAGCCTGGATGGCTTAAACAGCAGACATTTATTTCTCACAGTTTTGTAGGTTGAGAAGTCTGAGATCAAGGTGCCAGCAGATTTGATTCTTGGTGAGGGCCAGCTTCCTGGCTTGTAATGACCACCTTCTCACTGTCCATGTACTCCTGTGGAGGAGAGAAAGAGAGAGAGTGACTTCTAGTCTCTCTTCCTCTTCTTGAAAAGGCACTAAGCCCTTCATGGGGACCCCCTCCTCATGACCTCATCTAGACCAAAATTCCTTCCAAAGACCCCACCTCCACATACTATCATGTGGTGGGTTAGGGCTTCAACACATGAATTTTGAGGGACACAAACATTCAGTCCATAGCAAATAGCATGCATAATTTTTATAGTAAAAAAGCAATGACCAAGCTATTTTCATTTTAGAGAGAACAAAACTAGCTAATAAGGAGTGAAGCATTAGTTGTACCAGAATGGCAATGTTTTATTTTAACTTTCTTTTCTGTTTGAGTTTGTGTCGATATTTGTTGTGATTTTAAGACAGATTTGTTCTATAGTAATCGTGTAGGAAAAAAGAACTGGCTTAAAGAAAACCTTGAATTTCTTTACCTGTTACCTTTTACTGTTATCTAATACATTGGCCTTGTGGGGAAGACACTGCAGGTGTAAGTCACAGCTTGGCCACACATCAGCTATGAGATGATGTTAGGCTAGTCACATAGCTTCTCTGAGCTTGGGTTCCTTCAGTCTATAAAATTTGGATAATAGCATTCTTAACTAGTTGAGAAAATGTAAGCTGGATGTGGTCAGGCCTTGCCAGTCTTATTCACTGCTGAATCTGCCTGCCAGTCTAGAACAGTCCCTGACCCAGTGTAGCAGCTCAGTGGATACTTGCTAAATAAATGAAGGAATGGCTGATTAAGCGCAATTGTTTTATAATCTCTAAAGTGAAAAAATGTAGGTGCTGATTATGTAGTCATTAAAAATGATCACTTAGATCTGTATTTACTACCATGGATCCCGTTTGGGTTGTAGAATAGTGTATATTGTATGCTTACTAACATTTCCTTTTAGTCTGTAGAAATTATTACAATTTTCAAAATTACAGTTGCAATACTGGGGTGAAAGTCCATGGATATATGGGATGTGTATTAGCAAAGCTATGATCTTTTGAAAATAGAAGGTCTGTGCATTTTTAAAATCAAGTTTCCTGCTGGGTTTTGTGACTGTATAAATAAGGAAACAATATTTTCTTCCAAAAATGACTCATCCACAAAAATAGTGGTATGGTAGGATATAAAATAATTTTATGGATAGCAGTAAATCTTTGTGGAATAAGATCCTAATCTTTTTATGAAAACATGGGACATGCTTCTAGATACTGATTAGCTTTATGCCGAAACTACAGAGAATGGTAAGTATTCTAGTCATCTTTTCTAATTAAAATTTAAATTGAAATCTGGGTTCTAATGAAGAGAAGCTTAGTGCTGGTCCTGTGGGAGCTCTTCAGAGGGTAAGAGGAAAAATGCACAAAGGCGTAAAAAGATTTCACACAGACATTTTCTTCCCATGTATTGTATTTGAACATACATTTTATATTTTATATAGGAGCATGTCTTTGCTTGATGGAAGCCAAGCACTGTCCTTTTGACATGGACGTTCTTAAAATAATATCATATTTCCATAGTGCAGACCCAGCTATTTCATTGTGGACACATTGGCATTATCCCTCTGACACTCTGTCTCTGGGAACTTAGGTGACAGCTTAGCTCTACCTGAGAATTGGGTTCATTACTACCAATTTTGGGCATATGATGTGGCAGACAGGATTCAGTGTCAAAGGTTACTGTGTGCTACGGGAAAAAGTTGGGTTGCTAAAGGGATAATAAAGGAAGAGTAAAACTTGAAACTCTATACAAACTTTATTGGGCAACTTTAAAAATTAATTCTGGATGTCAAATTATTCTACCACGTCCCTTTAAGAGCTGTTTGTTACCACACGCAAGCACAAGCCCAGAGAATGCATTCAAAGAGATAACTTATTCAAAACATTGTCAAGAAATAAATGTGTAAAATAAAGACATTTCAAAGGAAAGATGTCAAAATGGTGATTTCTTACTAAATGCGTTATTGTCATAACGTAAATATAGGAAACGAAAACGCTAAGAAATCCCTGATAGTGTTTTAAAAGACATATTCACGCCACTTCAAAAAGAAATGATTTCAACAAGATATTCGAATCAAATTCAACTATTTTTTTTTAAAACCTGAACTACTTTGTTGCTAAAACGTGACACACTTTACGTGTGTCATTCTTCTATCTTATAGGATATTTCCTGCTGTATTTCTCCATATTTATTCTCTTAGGTTAATTGGGGAAGTGAAATTAATTCTCTATTCAGGATTCCTTCTCAGTCAAGAACAAAGGCATTTCAGCCTACAGAAAAATATCTGAAGGCAGAAGCGGTTCTAGAAAGGTAATAAACACTGCGTTAAGGCATCTTTCCCTGGCTGTGAGCATTCCACAGATGAAAGTTAGCAACTGTCTGTTGGACACTGTGAGTGGCAGGTAGCATGCCAGAGACAGAGCTCGCAGCTAATCTGTTGTGGACAATATGCGGCATCTCCTCCCAAACCTCCCGTGGTGACTATGCAGAGTCAGGGGGCTGGGAGAGGAACATCTCCCCAGCAACACTTAAAGGAAGAACACGCTGCAAAAAACAGCACACAAAATCACAAGGGCACATCTGACTCGGACTGCCAGCAGAGTTTGATTAAAATGTACCAAAATTGTAATTTTTCCTTCCCTATTTAACTGTAAGACACAGTCAGTGTTGCTTAATGTCAGTGCTGTTAATGAAGTTGTCAGGCTTGTCACTTTCATTGAATACCAACTTTACTAAGAAACTGGTACTACAATTACCTCCAGCTCTATACAATTAAATTCATCAAAGCATACCCAGGCTTCAGACTGTGCCAAATCTTTGGAGAATTTCCCCATGGCTTTGGAGTCTGCCCCTATCAGAAAACTCTGCATGCCCTGCAAAAGATAGAAGATTAAAACACTCATTGGAAACAAAAAATTTGTTTAGAACTTCCTCCAAAATGGGCCACCTGGAAATTGGAGAATTCTATTCTCCATAAGAAAAACCAGCCTCATTCACAGGTTTTGTGACACTCTCTGAGGCTCTGTATCTGTCTTCCCCATCCCCTCCACAAGTGAAATAAAATTCCACCATTTTCCCTTTGTTCATTCATTCATTCTTTTATGCTCTCACTCGAGAAATATTTGAGTGTCTGGATTAATATTGGACTAGCATAGAATGTGACAGAAAAAAGAGCAGCTCTTCAGGAACAGGAAGTTCTAATAGGGTAGAAAGACTTGTGCATGAATAGCTAATAACAGCCACAGTGTACAGTGGTAAGCACTGCAAAGAAGATAAAATATTACAGGCCGAAATCCAGGTGGAAAGATAAGAGGACGTTTGAGGCTGAGGTAGCGTCTGAACGAGACTTTCAGAAGTGGATACTATTTGAATGTTTTGGATATTGGTGAGCTCTCTCTGTGAAACTCCCTGATCTTCAGGTGACTGGCTCCTTCCTGATATTTAGCTTGAAAAACATCGAATGTCATTCCCTCGGAAATACCTTTCCCTGAACACTCAATGAGATGACATTTCC